GATCTTAAGTACTCTTTTATCTGAAATGTACATACAAAATTATGAAAACAACAAAATACACAACCCTTATATAATAAATATAATAATAAAAAGAACTTCACAAAAAATCCCCATTCTTTTAAAAATGCTGGTATATATAAATGTAAATGTATTGCAACAAATGTTATATTGGTATAATAAATATACATTTTAAAATAAATTATAATGATTACATTTCTAAAATTAAATTAAAATAAGACTGCCCCTAATTCAAATTTTGCTAAAGATTTTTTAAAAAATAACTAAAATATAAATATTGATTCAATACAGTATTAGAAATAATAAATACCCAAAAATACATTATCATTAATTCAGTTTAAGAAGAGTTACACATATACAATGAAATAAAGAAAAATAATTTTAATAATATTTCAAATATAAAAACTAATTTTAAAAATAATCTATTATATCAATACATTTTAGACAATAATAAAAAACTAATAACCAAAGTATTTATATTTCTTAACATATCTGTGTCTAATAAGAACTAATTTTAATTAATCTCTCATATTAAAATTAATTATCTCAATTTTTCTTAGTGCATTCCTTTCCTTATTTTTTCATACTCAGTCGCGATTTTATCGACTCATTATATACCCGATAATGAATTTTAAATTCGAAAACGGTCGTATTTTACAAATATAATAATATTCCAGGCCAAGCATTCGTTTATTTATTTATCTCTTATAATTTATTATAAACCATTTGTCGGTTTTTTATTATACATTAGCTAACGAGTGTTAACCATTGCCTAATTTTTAATCTTTATTTAATTATAAATAAACATTTCCGGCACTAAACATGAAAATATAATGATAATTGTAATGCAATGCGAAATCATATAATATAAATCAAATTACCAAATATGTCATGCTTTATATTTATTTTCGGTATTTTTAGAAACAAGGCTCTGTGTTCAGGGTATGCAGCTGCATCGTCTAACCTGTACAAGCCTATAGTCTGTGTTCGGGTTATTTCTCATTGTGCGCGAGATGATTACCTATCGTGCGAACAACGACGGGTGATTAATGGCTCTATTATATTATAGGGAATTCGTTCGCAAAACGGAAAACAAGCGGGAAACGTGTGCGCCAACGTGATCGACACAACAATAAAAAATATATTCCGGTCGGCGCAAACACCGCGGAATTCGGACGAACGCAGAACCGACGGCGGTGGCGGCGGCGACAACGGCATCGATTACGGTCGTCGTCGTACGCGTACTGCGCCCCGCGCGGGGCTTCGTGATAACGGTTCGCTAGGAGAAAGCACGCCAGAGTACGCCACTAACAACGACGTGTTATTCACGCGCACTGTTGTGTTAACACATTATCGGACGACGCGACGGATTTCATATCATAGCAACAACAACAACAACAACAACAACGACGACGACAACATTAACAGCGGCGATCGATTTCGACTATTCGACGCCGGGATATATTCATGGTGTTGCGGTCGTCATCGTCGTCGTCGCCGTTCTAGTCGGAGAAAACGTCGTGTTGGTCGGATACGGCCGCCGACGCAGCCGATCGATCCGTCGCGCCGTCCGATTGGAACAGAGCAACTCGTGCAGACGAAACGGTACGTACTCGTCAACTCCCGAGATCACGATTCAATCGTTCCGCTGTGGCCCTGGCTCCGTTGTCTGAGGTGCGTTCCGTGTACATTCGTTGTATGTTGGTCGTCCGCGGTGATCCGTCACCGCCAGTGCGCCCCGCGTCACGTTCGGCTGTTCAACGTAACGTTGACGTTCCGTCGCCGCACGATCATCAGTCGTTTCTTTGTTTTTTTCCCTATCAATTTAGGTAATATGTCCCAAACTTGTTGTCTACCGTTATAGTGAGCATGCACACTCGAGTGCCGTTTTGGTTTGCATCGTTATTGTAACGATAAGTAAACGCCGGATGGTAGTGTTGTACGTAATCCTGGTGTAATTTCATTGATCAATACTCTCCATGTAACTATAACATTTAAACGAGCATTTTTTTCTTATTATTTTCATTCTTATTGTGTGACGATCAGTGTAAAGTCATTTGGAGGGAAATATGATTACATTATAATTGAAGTTTATAGTAAATTTCAATACCTGTATTAAAATCAAAATGTTGTCTATGATATTCATGATTTTTTACATTTTACTCCATTAACTAATTTATAATGGTGTATTGATAATTTATATTTGACAGTTACATTATGTTACAAAAGGTGGAAAATATTACTCCTTATTTGAAATTTGGTCATTTCATTATTTTTATTAATTAATTAAATTAATATACCTAATTTTAATTTATAAATATAATACTGGCCTTTATGGTTTTTTTTTTAAATTTTTTATTAATATTGTTATAGATAACTTATTGAAAGTATGGAATTAGATAAAATGCTTGAAAATTCTTCATTAAAAATGTATTCTAGCGAAGTAGCTTCACAAGGTATATAATTATATTTAAAGTGTATCTTTTACATTATACTATGTATCAATTTCTAAAATATACTTACGATGTATAATAATTTTATTCAGATAAAATGATTATAAGAATAAAAAGGCAAGAACATGATATAGATGTTGAAAGTAAAGATTCATCAGTGGATCAGGAAGATATTGTGTATGTTTAAATAATATTAATTAATAAATATAAAAAAACTAATTTTAATAACTTAAATATTGAATTTACTATTGAAATAGGACATACACTTGTGAATTTGTACAAAAAGATGATGATGATGATGAAGATGTTGATGATGATGAAGATGATGATGATGAAGATGATGAAGATGAAGATGATGATGATTACGATGAAACTCTATCAGAGTTAAGTGACATATGTGATGATGAATCAGTTCGACAAGATGAAAATTTTAGTGAGTTAAATCAAAATATTTATTAATACTTAGTTCTTCTATTCATCAATTATTTTTATCTCCAAAAAGTATAATAAATAATTAAACTGGTAATGTATAATTTAATATATTCATTTTAAGTCAAACTATAAAAGTAGGTATGTTAAAAATTAGTTTCATTATTTTTAAAATGCAACTTATGATTTCTAATATTATGTACCAAATAAATAATTTAGTAAAACAATAGGTATTGATTGTTTAGTATTTTAAATTTTAGCACTGAATTAGGTTATTTTTAATTTATATTAATTTAAATATTAATTTTAAAAGTAAAGTTACCTTTTTTTTTAACATATTTACAATTTAAGTAAATATTTTTATATCCATGTCAAATTGTGTAATACATTCTTTTTAAATCTACAAATTTTGCGTAGGAAATAAATTAAATAGTAAAATTATTTCAGTAATTGTAGTATATTGAATGTACATAATAATGGTCAATAATAAGTATAAAATACAGAAATCAATGACAATGATCATATTCATAAATATATTGTCATTTTATATACAAAATCTGGTTTTTAATAGTTATTGAATAAGTTTAAAGTATTATATTATTTAGTTAATAATAATAAAAATATTCCATTTGAAAAATTCATAAAAATTATTGTTTTTTAGTTTATCCAGCTATAACTAACTCTGATGACGAAGATACTACTGATGTTACATGGCAACCACCGAATACCATTTTATCACCAACAGAACGTTTATCTCGCAAAAATACAAAATGTCTGTATTCAAAAGTTGGCAAGTCTGTAACAAGAAAAAAGAAATGTAATAATAAAAAGACTTGTGAAGAACCGGCTGCTAAACGTTTGGTACATTGCACATAGATTTATTTTTATCATTAAAGAATAAGATATTTATACTTGTAAAATTACTAGAAAAAAGAACGATTACCAAAAATCAAAAAAGTTTTAGAAGACATTTACATTTCCAAGCCAGATACCAATTTAGATCAACCAGTTGAAACAACTTCAAATGAATTAATGACAAAGAAAATTGGTGATTCACTCATTCCTAAAGGTAATATTGTAATATATTGTGCATAATTATTTTACTTGCATTTTTTTATACCTGAATTATAATAAAATTACATTTTATAACTATTCATCTGTATTGGATAAATTTAAGATTTTATGATGAATCTCAATACATAACCTCAATGTAAAATTTTTTTTGGTAATTATTACTAAGATAATATTTTATCAAACATTTTAATGTTACGTTCATTTGATTATAAGTCTTTTGTAAAGTTAATGAATACTTATTTTCAAATATTCATGTAATATTTTATTATAAGTGGATGAATACTTCAGGTATCAAATGTTTACCTTAAAAAGTGTTGTGATCCATGTTTGATTCATAATTTTAGGTATTTAATATTTACCACTGCTTAGACGCTAAATGAGTTGATTGTAAGCCATAGATGGTAATAAAGCGTTTACAAATTTACTTTACTTTCATAGACATTGTTATATTGTTACTTATGGGCTTATGTTGCTTAGCTCTATTATTATTAAAGTTTAATTTAAATGTGCTTTACCAAAGATCATTAAAGATTGTGAAAACTAATTTACATTTAATAATTTTATTACATTTGAATTATCATGATTATTTTTCAGTTTATAAACCAAGAAAAGGTATGGCTACACCAAAACAACGCTTAGGTCGAATTATTAAAATACATAAATTGATGAAATAACCATTGAAGAGAAAATCAAGATAAAATGCATTTTCTTATTTAAGTGGATCTTAGTTTAAGTGCCAAATATTTTAAATTAATCGAACAGTAATTTACAACTGTGTTCCAAAAAAAAAAAAAAAAAAACCAAATGTATATAGAAATATAAATCCAATTGAAACTACTTAAAAGTATTCTTACTTTTATTGATTAATTTAATTTATCGAAATCTGTAAAAATTATACCACAATATTGTAAAATGTTTTTTAATTTTAATATTAATAAACAAGTAAAACGTCCAACTTTTTAAATCAACTGTATTGATAATTTTTTGTGGAAGTTAATAAAATGTATATATATATATATATATATTAATATAAAACATACATGAACTTAAATCAGTAATTTTGATTTTGAGTGATTTAGTTCTAGTAAATGCTAAAGACTAAAATAACTCTGTATTTTTTTTTTTTAAGAATATGATAGTTTAGATAGAAATACATAGTATTTTATAGTTACATTTTCAAACACTTATGCAATTTTATTTGTGTGACAATACTTATGTATTTAAAAATGATACATGTATTAAATTTTCATGGTTGATGTATATTTTGTACTTTAGCGCCTTTAGTTTTTAATTAAATTAAAATTAATGTCAAAAAGTAATTTACATATGAATATAGTTTATTATATTTTTTTAACAATTTAAAACTATTGTAATATAGAACACAAATTAAAATTATCACAGTTTTATTATAATGTAATATACTTCTGTGTAAATTAATAAAATAAATATTTATAGTATTTCAATAATTTGTAATTAAAATCATTATTTTATTAATTTAAATATAAATTACATTTAGAAATTATAATTTTTTTTAAAAAAAAAAGAAGAAAAAGAAAAACTTATTTTGCTTAAAAAAAAAATATTAATATTTTTTATTGTAACCAAGTATTATAATATTAATTAATAGTAGCTTTTTTAGTCATTTCGTATTTAGTTTATAATTGTACAATCGAACACATATTTTATTTGTGTAATTTTTATTATTATTTTTCACTTGAGAATTTACTATTTTTTTTGTATTTCTTTTCTTTCATTCATTGGTTTTCTTATTTAGCAAGTACAAAGTTTTATATAAAGAGTTTATTGAATTCATAGAAATCCATGTAAACACATTGTTCAAAATGTTAATTTTTTTTTTTTTTTTTAAATATTTATATATTAAATGCCTTGTATAAAAACAAAAATAAATGTTTATTGTTTCAACCAATTTACTGTCTGTTTGTTATTACCTGTTGTAGACTCTGAATGTCAATATATCAAATGTTTGCAATCTATGTTTTGAAGTTTTATTTCTCGTGCTTGTTGAATTCTTACATTTGAGATAAGTCCATAAAGTTATAAATCAATGATCATTTATATTCGTGTTTTTAAAACATAATTTTTTTAAAAACTGTAGCTAAATAATTAATCTATAATATACCAAGGTTTTAAGGTATTCTGAGTCTATATGAGTGTAATCTAACCTCAACGTCTCGATAAAAGACTAAAATCTCCCAATTGAAACTGCGCATTGTAAATTTTGTTTTATTATATACGAATTAAATTATTATTATTTAATTATTATTTTTTAGTTTGAAAATAAAAACCTGATTATTCAAGAGTTAAACAATTTAATGTGATTTTTGACATTGCTTATATTCCATAAGAGAGTCAACATCTAGATTAAAACTGAATAGTTTTAACCTTAAATCACTCAACGTTCAGTTTATTTCTAGATTTATTTTTTAAAAATAATTGAAGTATAAAAAACTCGTTCAAATAGATAGGTTGTCGAAAGATAGTCCATCAATTTTCCAAGTGCAATTTTAGCGATTACTATATAACAGGGGTGGCAAATAAGTGGCACGCGTGCCAAGGTTGGCACGCATAAGATTTTAGATGGCACTTGAAAAACTATTATTTGTCTAGATATATATTTATAGATTTTTAAGTAACATACAATAAATTAAATTATCAATTGCACATATTAATATTATATACAACCACGTATTGTTATTTTATATTTATTACTATAAAATATAATTTATATGTTGTAATAGGTATAGTGGGACACTAAATTACTAGAAGTGTGTGTTCACTTAAACTAGAAGTTGTATTCTAACAAACAATAATAATATTTTATATTTTTTTTACATTATTTCTATTTTTACATAACTTTCTACATTATAATCATAATTTTTTCATTTATGTTTTTCTGTATTAGTAAACATTATTTCGGTACGGCTGAAATTTTTTTTTTTAATTATGTCATATATTGGCACGATGAAAAAATCCTATTTGCCATCCCTGCTATATAACCTTGTCAAATATTTAATCAGAATTGCACTAATGATGTATTAAAAAAAGATTATAGAGTCTGATCACATGAAAGTTCAATCGACGAATTTTTTTCAACTTCACTTGCTGATATTTTATATATATATATATATATATACTTTAATAATGTTAATATTGTATGGTTCACGGTCAAGTACCACTCTACTCACGGCCAATGGATTGAAAACCTCAGGTGTAGTGTATAAATACATTTCTTCTTGGGTTTGTAATGAATTGTAATATTTACTTTCCTTTGTTGTTACATTTCGATTAAAGTCGATAGGTACTAATTTAAGAATGCGACTGTCCATGTATTATAATTTATTTTAATCATTAGTATAATCAGTGGCGTAAATTGGATTCAATTTCTGGTGGTGTAAAGGCATATTTTCAACTTATAATTTCCAGCACACCAATTTCCTAAGTAAAATTCTTCCCAATAAACTATATATTTCCCCATGTATTTCTTTAAATAACAAATAAATTTTGAATTATTTTAGCAGTAAAACCTTTATTATAATATTAATAAAAAAAAAAAAACAATCAAATTTTGTTTATAGAATGCTGATTTCCTTGGCTCTTGAAAATAATATTATAGATAATTTTAATATTAGGTAAACAAATTTCAATAATTTTCTGGTGGTGCAAAAATGTATCTTTGCACCACTCAGTTTACGTCACTGAGTATAATACTGGGTATCGGTAATCGTCACACTAATCGGTATAATACGTATTAATATTTAATTTAAGTGTAGTTTACACGATGCTAGTTTACTAACGACTAGTGAAACACCATACTATCTTACTATCTCACTAGTAGATAGTAAAATAATTATTTCATATACACGATATTCAAATACTAGTAGCTACTAGTAGTATAAGTACCACTAGTACCAGTAGTCAGTACCACATACAGCCTCATGACTGATCATCGTGAAGTACCAAGAAATTGGAAAATATCATCATTGTTCCACTTCGCTTTAAAATGACTCATTATGAATTTGTTTATGATAATATATTTAACAAGAAAATTATCAGAAACAATAAATAACTAAAACTTATTATAATATCTGAATAATAACTGAATAATAAATATTCGGTATCGTTTTTAGTGTTTTCAGACGCACTGCCGGGGAAATACAAGCTACTAGTACAAAATAAACAACTAGTGCCCTATTACATGATACTATTTTTACTCACATCGGATAAGATAGCACGCTAGTTTGCTATTAAAGTTGAAATATTTCAACTTAACTCGCAAACTAGTTTACTATTAAAATAGTTTGCTAGTTTACTAGCACACTTAACTAGATAATGCTTTTTTAATATCAGATAGTGAACTAGCTTACTAGTTGCTAGTAAACTAGCATCGTGTAAACTACAATTTAGAAATGCATTTCACATTCATTTAAAATCATTCGATTGTTTGATTCTTTTTTTTCGATTATTTCCATTTCTAGTTTTTCGTTCATTCTCGTGTGTATCTGGTAGTCTGGTAAATTACTATATGTAATGATTGTTTCAAAGATAAGAGGCCCGAGAAAAAACGGATAATAATTCAGGGTCAAATATTGTATCTTAATATTATATAAATGACAATAATGAATTGTTCTCTATGTTACGTTGACCTATTCATCTTTTAAAAAAAGATTATCGGAAAAATATAAGTAGAGAAATTCCGTAAACCCATCATTGAGTTATACGAATTCCTAGTAAAGTATTTATTTTTTTTATGTAATTCTCTAGCAAACAACGTAGTAAAAAGTTATCGTCGCGCTATTCATTATTAAGGTACACACACACACACACACACAGCCTGAAATTAACGTCAAGCGTACACGTACACGTTCCGCAGTGGTAATTAACATTAATAGGTTCTCGAGACCGAGATGACGAGTGTCTATAATATTCGTCGCAGAAAAAAAATTTTTCGTGAGAGTGAGAGAGACAGATGAGAAAATTACAATGATAACAACGATACGTCGCGCGCGGACGGTTTTGATTGTTCGCGTAGGCAGAACAAGTCGTTATTGTACCAACGAATTCGATCGACGACCGTAGGCGAAGAGGGCGAAAAACGTACGGTCGGCACCCACAGTCAGGAATACCGAACCGTGGCGAATCGTCCCGAAACGCGCGCGACACGGACGATGTGCGAGGGAGAGCGGTCGCCGATTTCAGCGCCTACCGCTCGCCGCGGAAGTTGACACGACGTCGTGATAACAAAAATCATCTCCGCCCGTCCATAACCAACGCTATCCATCGTCCATTTTTGTTTTCCCGTTTTTCAATTTTTATTATCACTTAAACTACGTTTCGTTTTATTTTTTCTGTTATGTTTTAATTTCGTTCCCCGCAGACGACGGACGGCGGTTGTCCCTCATCTTTTCCCGAAATAAAATCCACCGTATTTTTTTTTTATCCTTCTCGCCTTTTCGTCCGGTCGCGCGGCGAAACACCGCTGCCGACTACAGTGCGTACGATCAGTGTTTCCGCCGTCGTCGGTCGTGATTCGCGCGCCGTGATACCACCGCCACCGCTGCCGCCGCTTACAGTCTCCCTCTATCATTCGTCCCCTCCACCAACCCGTTCGTTATTCCTCTCTCTCTCTCACTCGTCATTTTATTTTCTTTTGTTTTCGTCTCCGCTCGTTGCCACTGCTGCCGGTCAAGAGGAGAGAAAAAAAAAAAAAAACTCGTCGTTAAACATCAAAGTACCGTCTTTACTTTTGTACATTTTCCACCTCTGCGCTCGTCATCGAATTATTCGTGATATTCACGCGGCGGAACAACGCAATGACGTCGAACGCCGCTACCGCTGGCGATCAGCAAAAAAACGGCGACCCGATGAAACAGACGATGTTGATCATCGAACATAAAATCAGAAATCTAGAAAAACGCAAGGTACGTAAATATGTAGCCCGTATTCGAGAGTAGTGCATTATTACTATTTATGACAAAACATAACAAACCATCTATATTATAGCCTGGACACGATAAGAAGAAGAAGTACTATTTATGACAAAATTTAGTGCTATCTGTCTGTATACTGGATTCGTTTTATTACTATTTCACTATATCCGATTCAAAAATTGATTTTTCAGTTTTCTATAACGATACATATTAACCTTAAATATTAACCTTTAACAGTTTAATATGAGCATTATTATCCGGCATAATTTTAGTTTAACATATCGATTTTTTTATTTATTTTTTTCTAAAATGTGTGTTCTAGGGTGTTTTATTAGTTTGCTAACAAAAAGTAGCCCGAACAAACTTCGTTTTGAAGTTATTAATGAAAAACTTCAAAAACTTCATTTTTTTCATAATGCGCATTTTTTTTTTAAAAAAATACATAGAATTGAATATTTAATTTTAATTTTCACATATTTACATTTTTATTGTCCCTGTTACCTACTTGAGGTGGTTTTGCATAGCAAGTCGAGGGATATTTTCGATTTGCGGAACGAAGCGATGGCGCCGAGAAGTGTAGCGACGAGTGCTGAAACACTCATATAATAGTTTCATTGGCCATTGCTGATACCACACGCATCATTTGCAAAAAAAATTTTATCTCATTTTCACACTATTAAACAATTTTTAGTGAATTATTCTTCATAAATACTTCGTATGTAGGTGGACCGGAGTCAATTATTAAAATTGATGAATCAAAATTCAAAAGTGGAAAATCTCACATAGGATATCATTTCAAGTTTTTGAAGTTTTTCATCAATAACTTCAAAACGAAGTTTGTCCGGGGTTCTTTTTTTTTACATACTTATAAAACACCCTAAACACACATTTTGGAAAAAAAAATTATAAAAATCGATAGGTTGCTTAACTAAAATCATTCCCATTATCCTCTATTGACTCGCAATATTCTTTTTCAATAACTAGTTAGTAACCATTGAACACCCTATCACTTATTTTACAGTTTTTAATGATATTGTACTTTGCTAAATCCAATTTACTTTTAGTGATTACGAAATAAAATCTCAGTTCTGCCATATTGTTAACATATATTCAATACACAAATAAATAAATATTAATTTATAAGTCGAATAGGTTGTAGTATTTACTGAATATTGAACTAGGATCATATGATATATTTCTTAAGATATAGCTTATGATATGTTTTTATAGTCTTACAGTTGATATAAAGGTAGTAAGAACTATTCTTAGTATTTAAAATAGATATTAGCTAATTATTTGAAGTACATACACAATTGTTGTATAGTGCGTTAATTATTATTATCATGAATTAATATATTATAGACAAGATAGTTAATAGATAATAAGATAGCATTTTTATAGATGTTATTTATTGTTTTTTTATCATAACATACCTTCAAGTATATGGTTTACAAATCATAATTACTCAAGTATCATCATATTGAATTTACTGGTATTTAATATTCAATTATTAAATTACCTATAGTACATAATTTATATTAATTTATATGAAAAAAATTATTTTGAAGTGTTTAGTTTACATAAATATGTATTTATTCAATTTAAATTAGTTTTATAATCAGCCTATTTATATAATTTCTTAGTAATTATTGAAACAATATTGAATAATACGTTGAAAGAAAAATTTAATTTCTTTATTGATATTGTTGTAGTTTTTATTGAATTAAAAATGAATGTTGTTATATTTATATTTATGACTAAAACTAAATGTTTTTGTGTTTAGTGCTCTTTATAATTCAAGCTTAAACTATTAATTTTTTTTTTTTTTAAAAAAAAAAGGTATATAGAATATAAAGTTATTTTCAAATCTGTATTTATGATTTAGGATTATTTTTTATTAAAATCCTGTTGGGTATAATTAACTTTATTGTTTAATTTTTATGTTTTATTTAGCTAAAATTAGAAGGATACCTTCAACTACAACGCGAAGGAACACTATTAAGTGATGATAAATTGGTAGCTGCATCCAAATTTAATGAAGTACTTAGTACTTTAGATTTTGCTAGAAATTTGAAAAAACAATTGAGTTCACTTTTAACAACTACAAAACAAAAAAAACACAATACAGATGGAGAAAAACTTCCCATTAAAGTTGATGTTAAAATCAAAGAAGTTTTAATTTTTCAGGTAAATAACTTAAAATTATAAATAGGTAAATAATAAAAATTAACTAAAGTATAGTTAAATTAGTTAGTTTTGTAGATTGTAACTACTATATTTAGTTCAATTGTTGATTATTTAGTGTGTAAAATTTTTCCTATATTTTGTTTAGTAGCCTAATTTAAAGATACTATTTTTAAGTAAAATTATTGTAAATTTTTTTTTAAATGCAGAAAAGTCTAATTCATTACACGTGTACCTGTTCAGTAAAATCAAATTATGGATTGAAAAATGTGTTGGTTTGAGTAAATAAAACTAAACAATTTATAATAAAAAAAAATAAAATATTTTATAGGGAAAATAAAATATGTTATGAAATCAATAATCAATTTTCTGTAAGAATTTAAAAGATTAAATACAATTTCATTAATATTTAATGTTAATGTTGAGCATCAATTTGTATAAATACAAATATTTTTTAAACTAAATAAAACTTATTTGTTTATTTTTTCAATTTATTTAATGTTGATCAATTTATGTATTTATATTACTTTTACATTAACTTTAACATTAATATTGGTACTGAATTTTAATTGGTAAATGTATTGTATAGAAGAGGCTGTTTATACTTCATTAAAATTATAAATATTAACTAAGAGGATAAAGTTGCCACACAAATTTGATAAAATCTTAAATATTTTTTAGTACTTACATAAATATATGAAATTTATCTGCTCTTCTCATCAATATTTTAACATTGCTCTACAGCTCTGTTTTGGTAGTATTGACACATCAATATAGTGTCTAGGCCAGTCTTCATATTCAGTCACATATTGAAACTCTCCAAGGACAACATTAATATGAAATTCACTGGTCAGTACTCGGAATTATGTTTTTTTGTTTACTAATCAGGTTAATCAATATAATATTATTTCGTACTTGTAACTTTTGAATGATTTTTTAGAACTTAAATACCTTTACTTGTGGTATGAGTGTTTTTTCTTTAATTATATTTTGTAACTTTAATATTATATTTAAATATAATTATATAATTTATTTATCTTTAACACAAATGCTACTTACATTTTTGGTGAAATCACTGAAATATGATTTTATGAAATGGTACTATTGTAAAACATATTATAACGAATTATAAGTTCTTATAAGTGCTAGTTTCTTGTATATATAAAAATTAAATTTTTATTATAGTGTTTCTAATATAATATCTAATAGAAAATCAGCAAATGTTTTATATTATTTTGATATTCTTTAGTACCATAATATGTTATTAATGATAATACTTAGTTATTTATTGTGTTGTATTAATATTAATTTAAATATAATATTTATATAAGGAATTCAAAGTAAAATACTTTAATTATTAACAGTAAATATAACTGATGTATTTAAATTGTATATTTTAGATATTTGATGTAACTTATGTTTATTTATTTTTTAGAATATATTAGAAAATATCAAAGAAGAAACTGTGAAAAAAGATTTATTAACTGGTGATAATGGTGCTGTAAAATTAACTGACGATGAGATCTCTAAACTTTGTCATTTTTCTAAAATGGTTTCACCCAAACGTTGTGTAGAAGAAGGAAAACCACTTTTTGAGGTAATTTGTTAAATACATTTGGTTGTCTGTGCTCATAATTCAAAAATACTTCCTCAATTTTATTTTTATTATCCTTGAAAATGACATAACAATTTTGATCACAATTCTTTAATATTTTAAACCTTTATGTTTTCATAAAAATAACAAAATCTATGTTATTGTAAAAACTGGAGTTTAAAACAATTTATAAAAATATTTAAAATATATTTTTAAATATTATTTTAGTTTTTTTTTATGATAAGAGCTTAACTAATTATTTTAATTTTAATTTTGTGTTCCTATTTAGTTTTGAGGTTTATATATTTATACATTTATACATACTTACATGTGATCCATACTTATTATTAATGTTATTGTTTATTTATTTATTTATTTTTAAATACAGGATCAACTTAAGACTGTTTCTAAGCATTATGTAAAGCTAATAGAAAGTAAACCTAATATTGTTGCGGGTACGAGTTATGCTAATTTAAAAGAATGTTTGTTAAAAATTGAAAGAAGTGGTTATCTAGATTGTATAGTAAAAAATGTTGATAAAGAAGTTAGTAAAATATATATTATTATTAATTTGTCCACAATATATGATGTAAATTAAAAAATTATGTTTTTTGTAGGTAGAGGTACCTAATGAAGTTAATAACCTAGAAACCCAAGTATCTCAAACTGTAAATCAGCCAATAGTTTCTAATGATGATCACATACCTGATAATGTACCAAGTAATTTAATATTCATTAATTTGAATTACCAATAATTTATTTTAAACATTAATATTTATTTAGATTCCGGTGTTCCAAATGTAGAATACACAGCAAATAAAATTGAAACAATTTATTTTACAAATAATAATATTAGTGGAAATACTGTTGAACAAAAAACATACCAAAATAGGAATGATACAGAATCAGTATTGAATACTTCATTTGATTTTTTACAAGTGTGTTTGAGGGTTATATATTATAAAAATACAAATTCATTGAAATATTTAATATACTTAATTCAGGACTCCCTGCTCGAAGAAGATCATGTCAATGTCAACTTGGATTCCATTCCTACTCAAACATTTTCATCTTCTCTGTATACTAACAATGGACCAACAGATGAAGCAATTTTAAAAATACTTTCTACTCCTCCTCAGCACCATGCTTTGAATTCTGTTCCTTACAAAGTATTATATTTTTTTTAAATAGTTTAATAATTGAATAACATACTATACAAATGTGTAATAATGTTTAGGAATCAAAACTAAACCATTTAGGAAATGTTGTGAATGTTTCAAACTCAAATTCCTGGACAGGAAAATCTGAAGTTAATTGGCAAAATAGAACAGAAACTGTGGATAGTAATAATTTACCAAGAGAAAATTGGTCAATGGCTCAAATGATTAGTAATACTACAAATAATGATTGGCTTATTAAAAATAATTGGGTTCAGATGGCTGAAGAAGATAAACAGCAAGAACCACCAAATCAACCATCACAAAAAAATTCTTCCAATTTCGGTTTAGTTACTAATGGTATTTAATTCAAATATTTTCTAAATCAAGTTTAATATATTTATTCAATTGGCAGTAGTTATCAAGCACTAAAAATGTAACAGTAAATAAGAAGTTTTTAATTATTTCTAATTTTATTTCTTTTAATCTAAACAATAACATATGTAATTTAAAGTAAAATAATTTTTTTGAAACGTTTAAATTTAAAGACAATATACTGTATATTTATTATATTAATTACTATTTTTATTTTTTATTTAAATTATTTTACTTAAATGATGAAGTATAATGATATTTACATTTAAAATATTTGAATAATTTAAGGTCAAGAAATCAAATTTGTCTGCTAATTTATTTTCATCATGTTAAAACCAAACCAGAAAATTAGATTAACTCATTATAATTATAAAAAATGTATCCAATATAATTTAAACTTAGAGATATCAATTATTATTATAGTTGTATATTTATAGTTATATTTTTAATTTAGGATATACAGAGAATCTCAATGAGTTATTACAAAAATCAGTAGTTTTCAGTAAACAAGAATCATACCCTGTTACCACTTCATCGAATAACTCAACATTTTATCAAAATAGTTATGGGCAACAATCACCTAATCATAATATTGGACATTATACTAACTCCAACAATAGTTTTGACCGAAACCAATCTAATGATTTTAATAAAAGATCTGCTCCCTTAAAAAATAAAGTTCCGTATACAGGAGAAGGTTAGTTGTATTATTATTATTACTATTTATGATAGTCATCGTTATTATTTATTACAGGTGGACCATCAAGAGGTTATCAACAAGGCAACTCATATGTTTATAGTAATCGCTCATATAAAAATAACAGTAATCAATATAGTAACAATGATTATTCCCGAATCTCACGACAAACATAACAAAAATTGCTATTAATATAATAAAAATTCATTCAATGAATTGCCTAATTGAATATTCTGCTATGGATTTCTCCTTTAAAATCTAAATTAGTTTGTATATATCCACCTTCCCTCTCACCAATATCAACCTACTAGATAATACCAAATATTTTTTTTAATAAAACATCCTTTATTTATTCATTTCTTATTCAGTATTTATCTGAATTATTTAACAGCTATATACATATATAATATAGAATTTGAATGTAAAGTTGTTGAGCTGTTACTTTATTGCACAAAAAATTAAGCTTAAAGTCTTAGCATAAATTAATAATTGCATAATTAACATTAAATTCATGTAGATTTAATTGATTATATTTTGTTTTTATCAAACATGTGTCATTATTCCTTGATCAGTATCTAAAATAAATTTTAAGGGGTATTTTTGGCGTTTTTGTTCTTGGTGGCGGTCAATTTCTATTTATATATATATATATATTTACAAATTTATTATAATTACATTTTTCCATTAAGTTCAAAATCATTATTTTTCATCATATATTTATGAAATGTAATGTTTAATATTTTAATGAAACTTAAGTCTTGAGAAAATATAAATAATGCGCATGATGTATTTAATAATTTTAAATACTTGCAAATTCCTTTATAGATTTTTTTTTTATATATATTGTATGTGTTTTTAGTTCTACATTTGTACATTTAATTAAGAATATGAAATAAATATATATGACGATTATATTATAAATTTGCAGCGGTATTTTATTAGTTTTTTTATGAAGTATGAATATTAAGTGTATTCTTAAAAAATGCAACTACCAATGGGTAGTACAAATTTAATAGGCTATAGAATGAAATGTCCACTTTACCTTAAATTACAGAGTGGAATGTATTCTAGTATGGTCACATGTGGTTTGGCGAATGATAACAACTTTCATGATAAGAAAACCAAGACCTTATTGGGCTTCAAATAATTTAATAGTATATTTATATGTGTCAACTATTGAATAGTCATGTACAATTAGTTGTTAAAGTGTATTTTTTATTCATTATCAAATACAGAATAGCTATTGAATAAATAGCAATTACACTGTAATTGTAGTAGTTGTTTATGGTCGGAATCAAAGAAAGATCTAAAATTATCATAAAACCTATTCAATTAATGATAAATAAAATTATCTTTATATGTGAGCATTATTAATTTTCACATAATTCAGTTGTTTGCTTTGCATTAATGTATGGTTTAATTAATATTATAGTGTTGAATCTAGACCCATACACAGCTATTGTCCAAGGGGGTTCAATATCATATATATGCTATGTTAGGTAGGAAGTCAATAGTAAGTATACCAATAAGTCATATGATATATATAGAGTAACGACACGAGTCATTAGCAGTTTAGTGTATTATTTATTATTTGACGTCCGTCTTAAAAAATCAATTCAGTTTAATAAGATTTGGGTTTAGATACCTAATTATAAAGAATGTTGTACTCTGTTAACTATAAGTATTAGTTTTTAAGAGATACTTTTATTTTATTTTTCTCTGTAGTTATTTTTTTATATTTATATATACACTAGTGTATAATTAAAAAAAATCCAGTCTTTAGCAATATTAAGTTCTAGTCTTTGGTATCAATCATTTTTTGGCAGTTAAAAAAATCCAGTGTTGGGTATTAAACTTCAAAATGTTTATAATTCATAAAATAACTAGGTATTAGAAAAAGTAATAAACAAGAACATCATTAATTACATTAATGAACTTCTTTCTATTATTCTTTAATATAAATATTAATTATAATATATTAAAATATTAAAACAACAACATTTTAGTTTCTTTTTTCATAAATTCCTCGATAAATTCTTACTTTTTTAAAAATAAATAATATTCAGTTAGTGCCAAAGTAATGTCGTCATGCACTATTATTTTTGTACTTTTTAAAATTTTCGCAAAATTACTTTGTTTTAATGTATTACAAACGGAAGTGACCAAAGTTGTTGGATTGAGTGTTAGTTTGAAGGTAGCATGGGCAGTTCGACCACCCTCAAGCCAGTGTAGCTACGATTCTAGAAGATGCTACAGCTAAGGCAATGTCGCGAGTACTTCTAACTTTCGCTAAAATCAAATTGATTAAAAAAGTTTTTCATTTTTAAACTTTTTAACCCTTTAACTTAACTCCCTTGGTGTTGAAATTTAAAAAATCCATTCTTAATGGATGTCTACATTGTGAAACCAAACATTTATATGCATATATAAACAATACATTTCATTCTCATAGCTTCAGCGGTTTTGGCTAGGTGATTTTTCCCGTATTTACACTTTTTAACCCTTTTAACGCTCTTAGGGGTTGAATTTTGAAAAATCCTTTTTTCCGGATGTCTACATCATGCAACGAATCTACTGACCAAATTTCATACTCATAGATTCAACGGTTCCGGCTTGGCGGTTTGTTCTACCTTTTACACTTTTCAACCGTTTAGGGGTTGAAATTCAAAAAATAAAGTTAATAAACAATGTTTATTTGTTTTACAGAGTATGTATACTTAATTTTAAAAAATCAGAACAAAAAAAAACGTTTTAAATGTTTATCTCTTTTACCCTTTTTAACCACCTTAGGGGTTGAATTTCCAAAAATATTTTCTTTGCACACTCCTACATCATAATAGTTATCTGTATGCTAAATTTCAGCCCGATCCGTTCAATGGTTTGAGCTGAGTGTTGATTGCACAGTCAGTGAGCTTACTGTTTTATATATACAGAAGAAGAAGAAGATGAAAAAGATTAAGATTATTTCAACAATCTTCATTAATTTAAATTTCAATAGATTAAACAAAATTTAATCTTGCCAGGTTACATACATTTATATACTTAAACCCGGCAACGACGGGTAACTCAGCTAGTAATAATAGTAAAATAATAACCCGAAATCGCTGTAAAGTAAAATCATTATTCTATAACGCAATTTGTATAATTGAGCTAGTCATTCTTTTCTATACAACTGATAAATAATAATATTGCCACGGAACAATTCATATCTACATGCTGATAAAATACACACACAAAAAAAAGGTCAGTGTACAGGTAGATGAAAACCCTCTGGCCGCCGTGTCGTACCGTATTTCCTGTAATCAGTTGAAGGCTATTGTTATTATTATACAGATATACAAATTACACGTAAAAAATTATTTTTACCGATTTCAACCCTTTAAAATCAATATTTCGAAAAATCCTTTCTTAGCGGATGTCTAAGCCATAATAGCTATCTGTATGCCAAATTTCCAATCCATTCAATTGTTTGAGCTGTGCGTTGATAGATCAGTCAATCAGCTTACTGTTTTATATATACAAGTTAGCTGAACCCGTGCACTTCAAAGTCCGTTAAAAATCTTACTTTTTAAATATCTTAAACTTTGTGTTAAATTCGTTACCTGTGATTATGTTAGCAGTATATTTTTATACGTAAAGATAGATAGGTAACGGTTAAAATATACTAAGTAATTATCTTACAACGAAATTCGATTTAGTTTATCATTATGTAATTTTATTCGTTTTATTAAATATTTAATTAAATGATATTTATTGAAGACGCACGTGCCATGGAAACAAATAATAACAAATTCAGGGATAATTATTTCTTTCGCACTAATTAATATTATTATTGAAACTAATAGCAACCATCTATAAACAAACATTTCCATCGTAAATCTCAAAATGTTTGTTTGAGCACCCCCGGGGTTGGGCCTATTACTTTTTACATTGCCTATCGTCATAAACGCAAATATTGGGAGTGCTGAAATTACGTAGCTCACACTAATCCCAAGTATCATCTTAATTTAATCATTAAATGTATCATAACAACACGCATACACTAATATTTTAATTAATAAATAATAACAAGCATAAATTGTAACATACCTATTTATTTCATTTTATTATGTATATTTTATTCAGGTCATACAATATTAAGAAATACACAAATTAAAAAAATATACAATATACAGCATATAATATCTACAATAGTATTATTTTGCGATGACTGGTGGGATATTTTTCAAGTATTTCTGACGATGTAATTAACTAATAGTCATGAGCAATTCATCTTTCTAATAAAAACATTAAATAAAATTAAATGAAACTAAACGAAATAAGAAAAACGCTATTTTTTAACACAATTTTTCAACTGGGGGTGCTATATTTGAGCCTGGGGATGCTATAGCACCCCCAAGCACCCCTCTAGTTGCGCCTATGCCTATCGTCTGTTCATAGGTCTAATATATCTGTATATCAAATGTTGTCGCAATTGGTCCAGCCGTTAAGGAAAGAACAGAAATAAATCCTATAAATCCAGATAAATAACTTAGATACCGACTGCAGCGCCATCTGCCGGGTTGATCGTGAATCTAAGCCATCCAGTTAATCAAAAGCATACAAAAAAATTCAAATCGGTCCAGCCGTTTAGGAGTTCAGTGACGTACACACGTACAGTAGAATTATAATGGAGGAAAAACTCGACATTGTTTTCATAGACCTATTATAGACAATAGGTCTATGATTTTAACATATATAAATATATATATCTGTCTCTCTTATTCAATATCTTGTTTCAACGGACAGAAGATGACGAAAACGCTGCTCATAAGATAATAGGTCTAAGTAAAAAATGAGATTGATTGAATATAACAACAGATTACATTAAATCAGATGATGCACTCCCTCAGGTGCAATGTAAATGCCTGCCAATTCGACTATATTCAATGAAGTACCTTAATGCTTGGGTGAGCACAATATAGAAATATTTGTATTTTATAAACATTTTACAATATATTGTAAAATTTTTATACAATACATTACTATACTAATGATTAAAATTTTTATAAGTGAACGAATTCGGCATTATCATAGTGTCATAGCAGCAAAATGCAGGGATGCTCATCAAATAAATAACATTTTTCCATAAGAATTTTTTTTTTTTCTTAACAGTAGTCTCACTGCATTGATGTATGAATATATTGTTTACATTTTCAGAAAATGCTGGAGTTTGGTTAGATGTAATTTGTGATGTTAGAAAGTACACCTGGTCAATCATTGATAGTAACGAAAAACTAAAATTACTTCTCGAAGCATTGCTTCCTTTTTTAATATACCGAAACCAAAGAAAGCTTGTACGAATGCTGATACAATTAGTAATTGTTACCCAGTTCTAGATGGTAAGTTTTACACTTCAGTAAATAATTTTAACTAGTTAAATTCAATTTAGTATTTGACTAGGTATATAATATTTTTTTAGTATTTAATGAAAAATAATTAACTTTTATTTGAAACATTTAAAAACATTCAGTTTTTCATAAAGGTGTTATGTACATAATAATAAATATTTTTTAGTGTTCATAAATTCCGATTCACATTAGCGGTCTCGGTTCAGCTATAGGCAATCAAATCTTGTCAGTTCTATCTATATCACCAAATGTCATTTTCTTGTTATGATAGTGTTTTCAACATGTACTTTAATAAAAATTACATTAA